AGAACGATCCTGTGCTTGGCTTTTGCTTTAAGATGTCAGGCAGGCAGCAGCAGAGCGAAAGCAGGGCGGGGAGGAGAGCCGTGGGCACCGAGTGTCTCCCGGTGGAGGGCCGGTGCGTGGCTTTCCGAAGGCCAGCGCGAGAGCACTGAGGCCGGGGCCTGGCATCGCCTGGCTGCGCCGTCCTCTGACCGCTCCCTCCCGCCCTCCCTCACAAGTTGTCCCACACCACTGCCCTGCGCTGCCCGGCGGCTTCCTCCTCCCTTGGCTGCCTCTCCTCTCCTCTCCTCTCCTCTCCTCTCCTCTCCTCTCCGCGCAGGTGTTGCCTCCTCCCCTGCTTATCTCAGACTGCAGCTTCCCCGAGTATTTCCCCAGCAAGGCGGCATGTGCACGGACGGTGAGGCGTAAAGCAGAACCAAAACAGAACCCAGCTTCCTGCTGCAGTGGGGCTCAGCGGACCAAGCTGCCCGGCTCAGGAACAGGCCGCTGCTGCCCTCCGAGTTGAGCAATTTCCCCGGACATTTGCTAGCGAATCCTGGAGCCGTGCCTACTTCTTTTTCATTGCAACTGCCACAGACCACGACTCTTGTCCTCTTTTTGATGGTCTCCACCCTCGGCTTCCTCTTCCATTGCATGCATTCTGCCTGCCTCTTGCCAGGAGCCTTACCAGGGTCTCCTGCTCTCCACATTATCCCCACAACAACAGCCCTGTGAGGTAGGTTAGGCTGAGAGGTCATGGCTAACCCAAAGTCACCCAGAAAGCTTCGCGGGGGGGGGGGGGGGCTAAAACCCAGATCTCGGGAATGTCCATCCAACTGTCTAACCACACTGGCTTAGATACAGCTAAAACCCATGACTGTGTTCTCTTAATCTTCATAAATGGTGCCTTTAGTGACCATCCATATATTTAATTTAAAATATTTCTAGAGCACTTTCAGGGCAGCCACCCCCCACCCCCGCAAGGCAGTTTAAAATAATAAAACCCCATATAATAAAAGCCCACTCAGCAAGAAAGCAACAACATTAACGAACTCAGCCAACACCCACAATAAAACATTATGGCCTGGACAGTACTGGAAGACGATCACAGCTCCTCACCAGAGCAATTCAGGAAAGCGCGATCGGGGGGAGCCAGAGAGAGGCAGATCACCTGGTTTTAAGTCCCACTGGGTGACTCTGGGCCTGTCACGCATTCAGCCGAACCTCCCTCACAGGGTTGTTGTGAAAATGAAGCAGAGGACTATTTAAGCCATGGGTCCTCAAACTACGGCCCGTGGGCCGGATCCAGCCCATCATGCCCATTTATCCGGCCTGCCTCAGAGGTGCTGGACTCGCCCTGCCTGCGCACATGTGGAAATGGCGAGCGGCATCTTGCTCGCGCAAGGATCGTTTGGGACTCGCTGGGAGAGAGCGATCTTCGTGCGCGCCCCCCCGCCGGCATCTTTCAACTGGCCCCCTGTGGAAAAGTTTGAGGACCCCTGATTAAGCCACTGTGTGTTCCTTGCAAGAAGGAAAGGGAGATATACATGCAATGTGGTAACAGTGTGATTTAATAAGTTCTGTCCAAGTATGTCCAGCCCTGCATTCATAAAAACCTGCAGCGATTAGGCCTAATAGACCCCTGAGGGCAACCCGTGCCAGGGAGGTGGGGCCAGTGCAGAAAAGGCCCTGCCTGCCAAGCAACCTTCAAGGGTCATCAAGCGAGAAGGGCTCCGGTCGCTAACCTGAAAGAGCGGGCAGGCTGGCACTGGGGAGGGTCCCCACATGCATTCTGCTTGCCAAACCCTTTCTGCTCATTTCCTTCTCAAGAGAGAGCCAGTGTGGCGCGGTGGTGAAGAGCACGGGGCTCAGGCGATCCGGGTTCAAGTCCCCGCTCAGCCATGGAGCCCACTGGGTGACTTTGGGCCAGTCACAGACGCTCAGCCCAGCCTGCCTCACAGGGTTGTTGTTGTGGGGAGAAGATGGAGGAGGAGATGCAAGCTGCCTTGCGCCCTTTGTTGGAAAAAGGCAGGATATAAATTGAAAAATATAAATAAATAAAATAAAAATAAAAGAGTGACTGCTGAGGAGAACTGAGCCAGTGGCACACCCCCTGATCAGCTGGCCTTCCTCAGCACGCTTCTCCGAACACAGCCCTACGCACCTGCTGCCCTTCCCTTCGTCCGTCCAACAGCGCAAGAGGCAGGCATAATGCTGGAAGCCTCCCAGGAGTGTGAGGTCATCAGCAGCATCTGGGCCGGGCCGGGCCGGCCCGTCCCTGGGACAAGATCGCACCTCCTTGCAAAGGTGCGCCTTGGCCGGGCCGGGCCGGGCCGGGCCGTGGCGCAGCGTCAGCAGCAGCACCCACTGATGTGAGGCCAGGCTGGCCCCTTTGGGGTGCTCATCTTTACTCCCGGGGGAGGCTACTTTGCTGGCTTGCTGCCTGCACTGACACCGCAGACCACCAGAACACGGGAGGAAGGGCACAGGGGCTTGCAGCTGAGACTTTTGGTGCGCCTGGCCTCGTAGGTACCCCCTGCCTCTTTCACACCAGTTTTCAAGATGGCGCCTTCCATGCCCCTTCCCACGTTTTCCATTTCTTTTTCGTACTGGAGCCGCCCGCCTCTGGGGAAGGAGACGTGCGATCGCTGCACGCCGCTGAGGTGCCGGCAACAAGGCCTGGGCGGGATGGGTCGGCTAATCCTAACATCTGTGGCTGTGCCTCCAGGTTGTGGCCCAGTTTAGGGAGACCCTGTGAGTGTCTTCCAACATGTTTGTGTGCGTCTTTTACACGTTTATTTAAACTTTTCTTAACCACCCAGAGCACTTCAGCTACGGGGAGGTATAAAAATGAAATGCAGAAATAATGAAATGGTCGTGCCATTGACAGTCTTGTCTGGTTCCTGTGAACTCGAAGTTGTGGCTTCCGTAATGAAATCGATCCGTTTCACGGCAGTCTGCTGCTGCTGCTTCTTTGACTTTTCCTAGCTTGATGGCCTTCTCATGATGGGCCCAGAGTATGCCATAAGACTCAGTTTTATCAGAGAAAGTTCTGGCTTAATTTGATGCAAGAACCACTTGCTCCTCTTCTGCACTTACACTGGAGGTCACTAAAGAGTGGAGGCATCCAAGTTGTTTCTGTAATGGCACTGCATTCACACACACAAGTGGACCTTTGATGAATCCTTGCACGAACCACCCCTCGGGTCACTCGCCCCCGACATGTGAAATACAAGGCCACACATTTCATTTTCTGCAGTGGGAAAAAGCCATCTCTTTACGATAACAAAGAGCCCGGCATCCACTGGAGTCCTGTTCACATGAGACTTTGAGATGGGGCCATCGGAGTGTCGACTTGGGGCAAACGGCTAGATCAAAAGGTAAATTCTGAGGATGGGGACGCCTGAAGGCACAACCCCTGTTTAATGGGCTACTTTCAGTTCACCACCCGCAACACAAATATTGAACCCCCAAAACCAATGCACGGCCTGTTTGAAAACAATGCTCTCTGGGTTTGTTTGCGATCAAGGAAGGACAGGGGAAGGGCCTCCCAGAACGGAACTTCTCATAAGACCAGTAGGGGAATTCAGTTTTTGGAAATTTAGACCTAATCTGTATCAGGAACTGGCTATTAAAATTTAATATGGATGCTAATGCAGGGGTTACAAAAGTCACAGCACGTTAGGTGGAGATGTTGCTCCCAAACAGTCCTCCAGACCGATTCAGCCCGATTCAGCCACCGAGTCCGATTCAGCCAGCATTGCCTTGGGCCTGCGGGGACCAGGCTGGGGAACCTGCGGGGACCAGGCAGCTTCCAGCAAAGCTGGGGAGGGATCATAGTTGTGTAAGCCGTCCTGAGGCTATGCAATGGGACAGCATGCAAAGACTCTAAATAAATAAGTAAATAAATAGAATCATGGGAAGACTAGGCTGAAGCATCCAGAGAAGCGCAAGCTCCTTATTCCTGGGGAAAACACAGGCTGGGCCCATTTGGACATGCCATTTTTATTCCATGAAATAATACCCAGGGAAGACAATATGCCAGAAGGAAAACCCACCTCAGAAGATAAAGCTGCCTCATTTGCAGGAGCTGGGTCCAGATTTAGTCATACTTAAGTACAGACCTAATAAAAATAATAGAACTTTACTTAGTCATGGCTAATTTAACTCCCATTATTTTCAGTGGGCCTGCTCAGGCCACATCCAAACCCTGCTAGATATTCCATTCTAATAAAATATTTGGACTGAAACCACCCTGCTCTCTCCGTGCCCGTTCTCTAGAGTGGTCAAGACCGAGGCCCAAAGCACATCACAGGAAGGGCTGCTTGGGGAGCTGGAGTGGCCAACCAGGCACGGGTCTCTTTCAAGAGAGACTCCCCTGATACAGGCCCTCCTACTTTGAGGGAGCCAGGGTGGTGTAGCGGTTAAGCGTGTGGGACAGGGACTCAGGAGATCCAGGTTCCAGTCCCTGCTCAGCCATGGAGCCAGTGGGGTGACTTCGGGCCGGTCCCGGACTCTCAGCCCAGCCACTGGGTGGTGGTTGTGAGGATAAGATGGAGAGCAGGAGGAGGTGTAAAAAGCCTTTAGGAAAAAAAGGCAGGGTAAAATCTACTCAATCAATGAGTGATCGATACGTAGTACTGTCTTGCTTCTTCGTTTTTTAGCAGGTTCTCAGGCGTTAGCCCCAAAGCGTTTGGCTCTCGGCCCCGCGCCACGCTCCCCCGCGCCCCCGCGGGCAACCCAAGGCCGCGCAGCCCGCCGCCCCGCGCAGACACGCGTGTGGCGAATGCCGCGCCGGGCGCGCCTTTCCGGCCGCGGCGCTGCGGGAGCCCTGGGCGCACGTGAGCGGCCCGAGCGCCGGGTGACGCGCGGCTCCAAATATGGCCCGCCGGGGCGGGGCGCGCGGGGTACTTAAGGCTCGGCGGGGCCGGGCGGGCGAGCGAGCGACTCCGGGCAGAGACGGCGCCGCTGGCTTGCGCTGCGCTCCTTCCTTCCTTCCTTCCTTCCTTCCCGCCGCCGCCGCGATGGTGACCGAGGAGGTGGTGCTGCTGGAGGGCGCGCGCCTGGCCGCGCTGCTGCGGGATCCGGCGGAGGCCGCGCGCACGCTGCTGCTGGACTGCCGGCCCTTCCTCGCCTTCTGCCGCGCGCACGTGCGCGACGCGCGGCCCGTGCACTGGAACGCGCTGCTGCGGCGCCGGGCGCGCGGCCGCGGCGGCCTCGGCCTGGAGCGGCTGCTGCCCGAGCGCG